TAATAGTTCATATAGTGTGGTAGCCTGAAATACACATTCTTCTCTTGTCCTAAACCCAGCTTGGTCTCTCACAAGAATGTGATACTTCTTGTCAAGTTCAGATAATTTTATGGCTGCAACTCTTGCATCTACTTTAACCAGTGTTGGAATTAATGATATCCCTCTTTAGTTGTCAGGGATTTTCAAATTCCCCTTCTTTGGAATTGGTACTAAAATACCGGTTGTCAGCATATTTGGTATATTTCCAGTGTCCCATATCATATTTATTGCTTTGAAAAACATTTTGGAAAGATATAATGTTGGTTTAGTTTTGTCTTGAACCAGATTCCAAATTTTACTAGATATCATGTTGATACCAGGTAATTTGTTTTTGGTGTTTGTTTCAGAGCATTTGTAATGTCCTTAAATGATAATACATTTTTGCACTCTGGAAAAACATTCCTGGTGTTGATATCTAGTTTTTCTCACTTTTTGGTATTCCTACTATTCCCAGTGTGGTCTACAACCAGTTCGGCAAAGTGGTTAGCCCATACGGCAGTTTTCTGTTTGGTATCAGTCACCAAGATACCATCCGTATTGATAACAGGTCCATCTGCTATTTCAGCCATTGATCTTCCTGTTCTGGCCTTGATTCAGCGCCATACTGACTTGGAGTTACGATCCATGTAATGCTGGATCAGATTGTCGATTTTCTTCTTCCATGCCTCAGATCGGTCTTTATTAACCATCTTTTTGGCCTTTTGTTTGGCCTTGGTATATTCCTCAACCTTACATATACTCTTGGTTACGTTTTTGTATACCTGTCTTCTCTTTTTTATAGCACTTAAGTGCTTTTTGAAAGTACTTTGTTTTTTTTACCTTCATCTTTGGTATGGCGTCTAGGTCTTGGGCAGCACCTAGGGTTGCCCTTATTAGGTCTTCCACTAGGCCCTTACTGTCTACATTGGTATCATCAAGAATTGCAAATTGATTATGTGATTTGAATTTGATTTCTTTTTTTTGTACAATTTTCGGTACGATTTTTGGTTTTTTTATTTGCATTTGTAATGCACCCAATTTCCAGTTTGCCAATATTGGAAAATAATCACTCATATCCAAGTATTTGTGCACTTTCCCTGAGTCAGGGTGCTGTTGGAATCCGCAATGATAGATGTGGTCTACCATCCTTCCTATCTTTCCTCTGTGTACTCTGGATCCTGTTGAATTTGTAACCGGAATCCTTGATAACCCTATGCCAGCTAGATTTATATACCTGTCAGTTTGTATGATATTAGAGTTGAAGTCCCCTAGTAACAACATTTTAACATTCTTGTTTTTGGCTTGTTCTTTCTGAGTATATTTAATTATTTCTTCTTTTTTATTCTTCCTACGCACTGATACTTGTGGTAGATGTACGTTAATAACTATAATTTTAAACTTTCTGCCGTTTACAAAGGCTCCATACACTTTGGACGCCATCCATTGTGTACTATTTTTTGATTCGGTTATACTTAGTTCGTAATTGCTCCTTACTTCAATCAATAACTCCGTTCCTTCTTTGTTTATGCTAGATTTGCCTTCAACACAAGTGTATCCCGGTATATACCATCTATTTGACTTTTCAGTCAACCAAGTTTCTTGCAAAGCTATTATGCTTGGGTTTTTCTGACTGAGGTACTCATTTAGTTCTTCTTTGATGTTTTTGATATTATAGGTCATCACTAGAAGGTCATCAGTATCAGACACCACCTTTGGAACTACTTTTTTTCTTTCGTTTTTGTGTTTATCTATACGTATTATTACTTTAAGTACGTTTAGCAAGTTTTTTTTATCTTTTTTTTCTAATTATATTGTTATTTGAGCCTGGAAATTGCATTTCGTGATGCCAGTTTCCATCTCTTTGTTCGACTTTACTGACCTTGAATGCATCTCACTTTAGCTGGTTATGCATCATACGGCATCACTAATAGTCTTTGCTTTTAGTTCTGGAGCATTCCGGATAATCAATTTATCTGATTGGCCTGCCCCTGTGTTGGTATTATTTGCATTACCAACCTTATTCCCTGTAAAGTTCATCCTGGAGTTGAATTTTATGATACTCGTAGTCTTCTGGAACCAGGGCGTTCCAGGGACTACTTTTTTACGTATCAACATAACAAGTAACTGATAGAGTTAGCTCCAGTGGCATCCATTTGTATTTCAGCTATTTCAGGTTGATAAATGTATAAAAACATGTAACTGAACCCATCGGTATTCATTTCAGTCATCTTAGTAATCAATCTGGCCATTCGTTGCGCTTGCTTGTTCCTGTTTGCATCCGATGTCTGCCATTTCAATCTGGCCTTCAACTGATCCAATCCACTCTGTTTTCCTTTTTTTGCTGCTATTGGGTTGTATATACTGTCGTATGTAATCCCTTTTATGGTATCCATATGTTTTACAAGCTGTGGAGATTCTTTTTTATTGATAAAAACTTTTAACTTTGTATCAGTAACCCAATCTACATTTCCAAGCTGATACGGTTTGATTACTGATTGTAGAAATAGTTGTTTTACCCAAGTGGCTCTACATCTTTGGATTCCTTCAAAGTACACTAGTTTGTATTTGGTTGACTCAAATGGAGACTGTCAATTGATCACTTTAAGCATCCGGTCTTCAGTAAACACTATTGGCTTCCTGGGCACTGTTTTTTGTGATATCTTTTTGTTATCACCCATCTTAATGTTCCTTTTGATGGTATCAGCAAATGATACTTTCTTTTGGTTGTTTTCATTATTTGGTTTATTTATATCTCTTATTCTAGTAGTCATTGTTTCTTTATCAGAAGTATCTTTAGTTGATCTTCCCTCAATAAATGCCAATACTTTGTCTTTGGCAATATTAATGACACTCGTCAGTTCTGAGATGATGTCGTTATCAATACCTTCATCTGGAATTGTATGAACCAAATTCATCAACGCTGACTTGATGTCACATTTTTAACTTTTTTTGATCTACGTTAAGTACTACTTGATCATTACTTTTGATTCCCCAACTTTACATCTGCTTCAAGGAGTCAATTGGTTATTGGCTTATTGAATTCTTCTATACCATGTCTTTTAATAAAGTCATTTCCCCAATATTCTATATCTTGGGTGTTTATTTCATTGTTGCCCCATTCACCATTATTATCTACTTCAATATTATTTGCTTGATCATTCTGATCCATTTTAATTTCACCATCTTCTGGCTCAGAATCTGAACTCAATTTTTTTGTGTCTTTTTCCTAATTTTTTGGGCTCACTAATTATTTTTTGGATATCACTTATTGGGGCTGGCATAACAGTCTCACTTTTAGTTTTCTTAACTCTTAAACCCCTAACAGGTTTTTTGAGCAAATCTGTGAACAACTTTTTTTTCTGGAGCTTGATGTACAGGGGCTCAACACGTTTGTGATCAGAACTTTTAACTTTAGTCTGATTTGACTCCTTTGTTTTTGGTTTACTTTGCAACTGTTTTTTGAGATTTCTATGGATTTTTCATCCATTTTTTGATTTAGGTCAATTATGTGATTTGCATCAAGTTAAAATTTATTTCGGATTCGAATCCACGTTGAGTTATTTCTACTTGCCAGTTCCTTGAGTCTCACTTTCGCTTCCTCATGCTTGTCAACTTTCATACTGGAATCACTGTCCCGTTGACTAAAATTGATCTAAATTTGATTGGCTAGTCCAATAAAGTCTACTTTGTGGAAGAAAGATAGTAATTTTTCATTGTTTTTTTCTGGACCAGTTTCCGATAACTTCCTACTGCGTGTACTATCCTTTGAGTCAGATATAGTACTGAAAATGTTTGTTTGTTGAGGTTGAATGTGAGAATTTACTGCTAAAAAAAGGTTTTTGAAAAGAAAAACTTTAAAGTTCTGGATACTGGTCAACTATTACAAAAATATCAAGAAATTGTGAAACGAAGAAAAAAAATTGGTATCTGTGGGATTCGAACCCACGCCTCTTGCGAGACCGCAACTTGAGTGCGGCGCCTTAGACCGCTCGGCCAAGATACCTAAATGGGGACTCCGAGGATTGAACTCGGGACCGTACGATCTTCAGTCGCACGCTCTCCCAGCTGAGCTAAGTCCCCATACGTCAGCGGCAGGATTTGAACCTGCGCGGGCATAGCCCAATAGATTTCAAGTCTATCTCCTTAACCGCTCGGACACACTGACTATTGGTTTAAACGGTATCAAATATTGATAAAAAGATTCAATTAGCTTCTTGATTATAAACTTTTTTTTAGTATTTTTGCCCTACTACAAGGGTAAAACTTCAGTAGCTCATCAATAAAAACTAATTACCCAATCGGGGTTTTATTTTGTATTTTTCATCCAATAACTTGTTATAAAATTTTTTATTGTTCAATGATTTGTGGTTATAAAATAAAAACACTCTTTCAAAAAAAATAAAAGTCATTTGAAAATGTCGCAAACTCTAAGTATGCAACCTTGGATACGTCAC